GGCCAGGGATTGTACTGGCCCTGCAGAGGCTGCAGGCAGCTTCACAACCCAGCGCTCAACCGCTGCGCCACCAGGGAGGCCCTATAATTTTACATTTTTAATGTGCATTTATGTCTTTTGTTCTTCACTACTCCTGAGAATGGATACAGTCCCATTGTATTAATAAGGAAACAGTAGATAATTTCCTTAGTCACTGACTGAAAGTGACAAGACTAAGTTTCAAAATTGGAACTTCTGTTGCCTTGTTCATTTCTTTCTCTGAATCTTTTGAATCAAGGATAGAAATTCTGAAATTTTTACCACTTTAGAACTGAAAAGGAATTGGACAGACACAAATAAGAAAATAACTTACTTACTTAAATTGTATCACTCATACACATTGGCAGAGAAGTACCTAGTAATTTGCCAGAGAAAGTGCTGGAATGGTACAATGAAGAGAGCACTGAGCCAGAAGTCAAATACCCAAAGTTCTTTCTAATAGTTCATCTGTTTATGAACCAGACAAGCCAACTAATCCTGACATACTGGTCTCTTTTCTATAAAATAAGAATAATACCTGCCATGTAAATCACATGAGAAAAGGTATATGAAAGAACCTGGTAAATTCTGAAGCATTTTATACATAAAACATCATTATTAGTAATTCTGAAGAGTGAGAACTACCATCCATTTTTATGCCTTAAAAAACCGAGAGTGAAATAATTATAGTTATTCAGTCTATAATGGCCTGTTAAAAATGTCCATCTAAAGTTAAAATATCATCAAAGTAATGAAAGAGGATTCTGGAAACCTATAATATGAAAGCTAGAAGGATTCTTAAAAAATTGTTCTGGTAAAAGCCTATCATTTTCCAGATGAAAAAATCAAGGATTTCCCCCAAGGTCACTTGATAATTAGTGCTACCATATCAGCTTTAAAATGAATGTTTCTTGAACTCTCAACTAAGGTTCATTACAAATTACTGATAATCAAAAATTATGCTTGAAAGTCACAAAGCCATAGCTTCAGGGTTCATTTCACAAATGCACTGAGTCCTAACCTGCACAGGGTATTCAGACTTCTCAAGTTCTTCATTCAGGAGAAAAATGACCACCATCTACCTACGTTTCACCCACCTATAAATATTTCTAACTAGCTGGTGAAGGTAACTCCTTAATCTCTTTGGAGAATGTGTCTGGGGGTTCCATGATTCTCCCTTCAAGGCAAAAACAGATGGATAAAAACCTGGATTCCCAAATGGCTCCTTGGAGCAGAACTATCCTGCCACACTAGCCTATCTAACTGTTAGATGAGGTAGGGGAATGTTTATATGTCTTATGATACTAAAGATTTACCCTAAATACTAACGCAAAACTGGTGGTTATTTTTTTACCTCTTGTACTCTTGGCCAATGGTGCAAATCAACAGGACCATATATGTGACCTAAGAACACTACCAGGGAAGAACCTTCAATCTAGGTGCTAAAGGACAGATGCTTTTACCAGCATTAAAGTCTGATTCATCCCATCTGTTCCAATGGACAAGAAAAGAAGTAACAATAGCTCAAATTACCACTTCATAAGCAACAAACATTATAGGCAGAAACCTGGTTAGGCCTACACAGTGGCAATTCTTACCAAATACACCAACACAGGAAAACATCTTGTGAAGATAATTTCATTTTTTAATGGAGGTTTCTAGACAAGACGATCTTTGAGGTCACTTACAGCACTGAGTCTGTGATTTCTAAACACTTGTAAAACGTTATCACAATGAAAAAGGAATATTATCTAGAAGAAGAACATTATTTAAAAATGGAAAATGTGTGCATGATGGAAAATACACAGCTAGAATATTACAGAGACATATGCCCTAATTTAATCCTGGTCATAGACTAAAATAGCTCCTTTCAAGTTATTATTTTTGTTCTGGACAACTGAGAATTGTGAGAGGACCAAGTAAAGGAAAGATTCCAACTCTGAGTTTTCATGAAAACTTGGGTTTGAAGAAAGTAGGTCAAACTGACCCTTCTTTGTTCAATTCAGTATAAAACTTGATGTAATCACTGAAGTAATCACAAAAGAGGCAGCACAAATGTAAATGGTTGTCAAAAGGAAGCATTCAAGTGTTCTAGACTCTTGTGCACCCAGAAACTCAAAATGAGGACAGCTTGCCTCTCAACGGTCCTGAAAAGACTAACCTGCCCCCCCACAACTTGTGTCACCAAATGCTCCCTAATCACCCTGAGCTTAAAAGGGGATGATTACAAAGCTCTAGAGAACAAAAGCCAATGAGATCAATTTAAGAATAACTGTAAAAGAGAAACTTCAAGAACTTACCTACAATTTAAATTTCTTATTTGCTGCCAAATTAACTCCACAGTCAACAAATATGTATTGAGCTCACTGGCCCTGGGGATACAGAAAAAGCAAATGGAGAAGAGCTTTGTCCTTCTAGAACTGACTCCATTGTGGGGGAAACATATAAGTAGTAAACAAAAAGCACAAAGGCTAATTATAGACTATGCAGCCAGTAAATTCAGTGCTGGACATGGTTTAAGGGCTGGGAAGAGGCGCCACTGTAATTAGGGTGGTCAGGGGTCTCTCTCTAGTAGTGACTACAGAGCTGAGAACTAGAAAAGAAGGAACCAGCCTAGCAAACAGCCATGGGAAGGTTTCAAGTTTGTGCAGGCAGCCTGGCTAGTGAGAGTCAGAAGTGGCTGTGTGGAAGAGGGTAAGACCAAAAAGGAGGCTGGCTTCCCTAATGGAACAGGGCCTCCTACCCCAAAGCAGCCAATGGTAAATTCCCTGATCGGGGAGGGGATCAGGGAGCGGGGCAAACAGCAAAACCAAAGCATAAACTATGTGGTGGGTTAGGGGATTAGAGCCACCTTTGTGTCACCAGATATCCTCTGTTCAGAAAGAAAAGTAGACTCAGAATAAGTTTAGAGTTAATTGTTTAGGAGGTAAGCAAGGACTCAAACTAGGAGTCTTCTACTGATACCTCCAGTTGTTCTCATCACATCACAAGATTTTTGTTTTTAACATAACAAAAGCAGTTCATACAAATTATAACGGTGCACTTTTTAAGATTCACTCAAACTGAGGAGACTTCATTTGTGATATCGACTAAGGCTCAAATGACCTATCAATATGCTCAAAAAGGTTTTCCTTGTACAATTCCTATCAGTTAATCTTCTTTACAGATTGATGTTAATTAACATTTCAAAACAATCTCTAATGACCTTCTAAATACATAATTCATAAGTCAAAACAGAGAAGCTCAAATGTCCAACAGGTTTACCACTGATGCTGATACCACTGGTGCCTATTTTTAAGTGATAAGGCATGTGGACTCTGTACATAAAGACAACATTAACTGAGATGAACTTAATATTAAACAGAAAAAAAAAACAGCACAAAGGTTTTAACACTGGTTACAACTTTGGGACAATGAGAAAATTTAAAGCAATGTAATAAAGATGCATTTTCCATTAAGTTGTTTCCCTTAATACATTTATAAGTGGCCTTAACAAAAGAAAACAATGTTTTAAAAAACTGTCTTAACAGGTAGAGTTTTTTAATATCTTTCTATAATGTACCTTCATATTCTCTTCACAATTTTCGTAATTTTCAAATTAGAATTAGCATTGTAGATTTTCTGATATCAATTTAACTTAAGTACCTGAGCTATGTACTACTGAACATTTTAATATTGACACAGTGGGGGAGAAAAGGGCAACGTTAACTCCTAAAACTAAATATTAGCATAAATATTGAACATTATCCAAAACTTTTCTACAGAGATTATAAACGTAGAGAATTGTTGCAAAACAAACTTCAGCCTTGTAATACATGCTCTAAAACTCGTCCAACGCTTCCTTTATTCCCTCATCCTGCTACCTAATATATTAAAATGCTTCATCAATAATTTACTACTTCCAACAATATAAAAGGAGTGTCATAAATGCAAAAATTGGTGGACTTAGTAACTGCTGCCTACATTGTCCTGTGAGTCTGCAAACTCTCTAGTTTTTCAAGACCATCCATTTATGGCATCCATTATTCTGAAAAAGATTTGATAATGTGCTTCTCTGCCTTGTATTTAAGAATTTAGCTAGTTTTGCATTTATTACCCATCACTTAGCAAACAGTAGACTTTAAAAAGAACTGTTAAGCATACACACAAAATGACTTTAGAAAAGTATTTAACCCTGTTTTAGATGAGTAGGAGAAAAATTAAAAGAAGAGAAGCTATACAGAAACTTTTTAAAGTATACTTCAAATCGTTTCCCTCCATCTCATCACTGATAGCTGGCAACTCTATTGGCAACTGCTGTTCATAGTATTTCCTAAATCAAAATGGTACAGCAAATAAAAACAAAGGATGAGCATAGGCAATGTACTAAGTGCCGATGAATTGTACACTTTAAATGGTTAATTTTAAATAAATAGAAAGGATAAAGTCACCAACATATCCATCTTACCATGAAATATATTTGGTAATAATACAGAAAATCTAAACAATGAAATTCTGAGATGATATAATCAAAGCAGTATAACAGTAAGAATCATATATTCATAATTATTTATTCTTCACTTCCAAAGAATAATGGAGGGTGGGGGAATAGCTGCTGGTCTAGCTGAACAAGACTGGGTATGAGCTAATCATGGTTGAAGCTGGATGATGGGTACAGGGACCCCCTGATACTATTCACTCCACTTTTGTATATGTTTACAAATATCAATAGTAAATGGCTTTTTAAATTACATCTTTAGAATGCCTCTGGAACTACAACAGAAACACATGAATATCACTGGTATACAAGAAGCCTGAAGTGAACCAGAAGCCCAACAAAACTGTCATTTTATTTTACTGTTGAGAACATCTGTATTTTGTCCATTGTTAACTTTTTTTTTAATAAAGAAGGAAGCTTTTGCATTTCTTCAATGGTTGATTTCAATAGACCTCATACACGGCACACTTCACAAAGAGCAACAATTTATTAGATCTGTACTTACCAGGAGTATCATAGGCCGTTTCCAGGTTGTCAATCCTATGATTCCAGAGAGTATCACCTACAAAGATAAACAGTATCATAAATCTAGAAAGTGGACCAATTCTGGCACACAACTCCTCAGGCTCTAAATTAAAAATGCTGAAATTTCAAAGTCTCCTAAACCAAACATTTAATATTTTTGATGATTAAAGGAACCCTGATATATTACTCTGGACTACCCTTCACATCCAAACCCCCAAGGCATTTTTATGTTTTGTATGTTTTCCCTTAAGAGCAAGAATACAGAAGCAGAAATTAGTCCATCCTTCCAGCTACTAAAGTAATCAGTATTTTGGATCCAGGCTCCCTGCTTCCAATGTCACCAACTCCAGTCCACTGCCAGAGTCAGTGACATATGAAGCATGAATGGCCAAAGCCCTTTGCCTTCATTAGGTGGAACAAGTAAACTCCTCAAAATCCCCGCCCATTCCACCACATACCTTCCTTCTAGGCATACCTGTCCTTCCTGGCCAGGCTCTAGAAAATCTTGGGTTTTGTATTTCTCTTTACTGCAGTGTCCTATCTTCCCATCTCCTCTCCTTGCTACTTAAGACTCCTATGCATCCTGCAAGACCCCTTGAGGAGCCTTTACTAAGCCCGTTACCCCACACTCTGGAAGTCTTCTCAATAAGAATACTTTCTGAAAAAAAACTCCTCAATTGTAATAATTTGAGGTGCATCTATCTTGTCCACTAACTGTGAACTCCTATCTTCTCTCTCTGAACCCTCAGCATCTAGCATAATACTTGTCACGTGACTGGCAAGCATTGTGCCAAAACCTAAACTGGAAACCAGCATCTGCCCTTTGGATAACACAATTCATTTAGCAGTTGGGAACGAATAATCAAAGTAATTATTCAGCCCAGGGGCATGATGGGGCCATTTCAGCACATTTACCTTTGTGCAGTAAGTACATCTGCTGATGGAAGTTATGAGTGCTTCCTTTCATGTGCCAAACTCCTTTTCTGATGCACCAATTCACAATTACTGTTTATAACTAACTAGCTTGCAATGCTCTGCATTCTCAGTGAATGGGAATGGATCACTCCCCTCATCAAACCAGCCTAGGACAAGTCTGCCCACTTGGACCCATCAAGTCTACCCGTCAAGGGCCAAAAACACGTATGGGGCAGGTAGGACAGTTTCTTTATATTCCATCTGTGTTTAAACTCACTGTCAGCAGAGTGCCCACCAGTGCACTATAATCATCTTCAACTCAAATGGATCTTTTCTCACTCTAAACAATTTCTGCATAGACACAAACAGGGTATGTGGACTGCATCTGCTTCACAAACAGGGACTTGGAATTGATGAGACCAAGTTATTTCACTTCCGTCCTCACTGGAGTTTCCTTAGAAATGTGGTAAGTGAAGGAAACCATCTGTCTCTCTTCTAACTCATTTACCTCGCTGTGGTGGGAACAATTCCTCAGTAACCCCGACCAGCACTGGCTCTAGCCTGCAGATGGTATGACGGCAAGCATGCATGTGCACGGGTGTGCATGTAAGTCCCCATGTACATGGACACTTCTGTTCACATGTGTATATACGTGTGCACATGCTCCCTGCCTGGCCGCACTGCTGCTTACCAGACTTTGAGGAGGAAATGGAAGCTATTTTTGTGAAAACATAACTGATAATTTAATTGTTTTTGAGGGAAACAGACTTCCCATTCACTAAAATATAAATAAGATTTTAATTATCAGTGTTTCATATTTATGTCGCCAGCCTCCATTAATACACAAACTTTTGAGGATTAGCTTTTTAGAACACATTTTTCCCATTAAAACATTATTTTATTATTAAATAGTAATATGCCTAAAATATACTTCTATCTTCCCCTCCCAGGCACATCATTCCATCCTCCTCCACTTTAACAGCTGACGGCATTTACAAATTTTGCACATGTACATAATTTTCTCTAAATTTGCATCACTAGACACACATTTGTGTGTGTGTATATACATATATGTATGTATATGTACATATATACAGGGGGTATAATTTTTTTTAATGTTACTCCTTTATTTTTCCCTCCCTAAAGATTCATAGAGTTAATCTGAACACACAGTATACTTTTCTTATTGAAATGTCAGAGATTATGATAAAGCCATAGCTGTAGAAACAGAAAAGGATGTCCTAGAGGCAGACGTTGTGGTTCAATAAGGAAAGTTTGGCACTCATATCCTCCAGGGGGTATAATTTTTAACCAAAACCAGATCACAGATATTTTTCTTCTTGTTCTTTTTCTCTATGAGTAAAAAATTCATGGGACTCTCTCCATGTCTGCTAAAATAGTTCTCATTCATTTCCATTCAATGGCTACATAATATTCCATTGTGTGGTGTGGCTAATGTATTCAATCATTTCCATGTTCATGGTATTCACACTATTTCCAGTTTGTTTTGTTTTTAACCCTCACAAACAACACTGCAGTAAACATCCATGCACATGTATCCTTAAAAACTAGTCCTTTTTACTTCTATTGAATAAAGTGCCAGGAGCAGGGCTGCTAAGTTGAAAAGGGTATTTCTTTTTTTTTTTTTAAAGATTTATTTTTTATTTATTTATACAAGCATTGGGTACAGTCAGAAGCGCGGGAGGGTGAGAGAATTCACCAGAGTCAGAGCAGGAAGCAGAGCAGGCAGAAGGACCGAGGTACACTACTGAGGGCAGCAGCGGGCGGCAGGAGAGGTCTGCGCGCCATGTGAGACCCTCCTTTGGTGGCCGGGGAGCAGCCGGGGATCAAACTGGTGCTGCAGAAGCTGCGGGCAGCTTTGCAACCCAGTGCTCAACCGCTGCGCCACCGGGGAGGCCCGAAAAGGGTATTTCTTAAATAGATCATGACAGATACAATTGTTATTGCAAATGAAGTGTCTCTGGGACAAAGAACTAAGTTATTTTCTACTTTTTTTGAAGGGAGAGTGCGTGTATCGGTAGCAAACATAAGACAGCCTTAAAAATATGTACAAATCATATTTGACAAATAAGAAACATCAATAATCACAAAATACATAAGCTATTTAAGGCCTCAATAGGGAAAAATATAAGTCCTATTGAGTACTATTAAATGAAGACCTAAGTAAATGAAGAACATATACCACGTTCTTATATTGGAAGACAAAGTATTCAAAGACTTTGTTTCCATTTGAACTGTTTTATAGGCTCAGCACACACCCACATTAAATCCCAATAGGACTTTTGCAAACCACCCTTGTTTTTAAGGTGCTTTAAGAAACTACATTCCATTTGCAGGTAGAAGTTATAGATACATCTTCATCTTCGTCGGTCATGAGGCCCGCAACAAAGGCTCACATCTACTTCTATTCAATTTCTCCTGCTCTTCAAATCCAATTAAGTCCTAAGACACTTGGGGAATCGAATCCTATGAGTGTTGACAGGGAGAAGACAAAACAAGTAGGGCTGGATAGTTAGAGGCTTCTAGAGTACAGAACAAAGGTGCTGCTGTTGGGGATGAATCTTTTAAGAGCCCAAGACTTAGGGAGTGAATGCTCACATTTCCTCTGAAGGAAGGGCAGAACTGATGAATGTGGAAAGGGGTTGGGAAGAGGAGAGAGGAAGGGGACAGCCCTATTCAATGTCTCTACCTCTGGAGAAGAAGTAACTAGTTCCATTAGAAGAGTCCCTTAACAATGGTCCTTCCTGGGACCATTACACCATAATTGTATTTTATACTCACTGACAATCTCATGAGGGCTTAGAGCTGTGAGAATTCAGTCAAGTATTACTAAAATCTCCCAGAGGTACACAGAAACTTACAGCAAAAGTCAATGAATGAGTGAATAAATGATGAATAAGTGAATGACTATCAAAAACAGGAGATGAATTTTCTCAAAGATAACTCTGTAAGCCTAAAAACACTTTTCACTTCTAGGCTTCATTTCTAAATACACCAACAGCTAAAAGTAGCACCATCAGCGTTCTTTCCACCCAATGCAAGATGCAACTTGCCCTGAGAGAGCAAGAACCTGCTTTATAACTCCAATTTATCTCTATATTATTATAATGAGATTTATTGCAATTTTGGTTTCACTTACTTGTAACCCATTTTTTATAGTTTATAAGAAACAGATCTATCTTTTTGTTTGACACTGCAAAGAGATTCCAAGACACTCCAAGCAAGAATAAATGTTACTCATGACACGTAGTTAATATACCTTAAGTTTCCTTCTTGCAAATCAAATCATAAAGATCAAAAGTATATAAATTCTACTACTCTATTTTACTATTTTTCTTTGCTAACCCTGTAACATGTCTTAGGGCAAAAATGTTCTGAATTGTCAAAAGTTACTATAGCTAAACATAGAGATAAAAAAGCCATGTTGTAAGTGTCCATGTTTACCTTATATACATAAGCACAAAATAATCAAACCTCTCAACAATCTCTCTTTCCCTTTAGCTTTTACACTGGCAACTTTAAAAAAAAAAAAAAACATGTGTGTGGGCCTCCCTGGTGGTGCAGCAGTTGAGCGCTGGGTTGCGAAGCTGCCCGCAGCCTCTGCAGCGCTGGTTTGATCCCTGGCCCCCCGTGAGGGTCCCACATGGCACGCAGACTCCTACCGCGCCCGCTGCTCCCCTCAGCAGTGTACTTCGTCAGTCTGCCTGTTCTGTTCCCCACTCTGGCTCTGGTGAATTCTCTCACCCTCCCGCGCTTCTGACTGTACCCAGTGCTTGTATAAATAAATAAATAAATCTTTTTTTAAAAAAAAAAAGGTGTGCACACGTGTGTGTGTGTGTGTGCGTGCGTGTGCGTGTGTATCATGCCTCCTTATTCTTCCCTATCCAGAGTGACTCAAGAAAATGTAGGAGGTGGGCGACTGGATAATTCTAATGTATACATGATGGCTAGCAGAATGTGTCGCCCCCACAAAAAAAAAAACCTGACCTGTTCATTTCACGCTAATTAAATATAACCTTGATGTTGAAAATACATTAATAAAGCTTCTCACATGTACCTGGCCTGATGCTGCACCTGGCAGTGAAGTACTCTCCTATATAT